TGGCTAGCTGCGGCTAGCCTCACCCAGCTGCAGCTAGCCGTGGGTAACCGTGGCTAGCTGTGGCTAGCCGCCGTCGGCTGTGGGTAGCTGTGGCTAGCCATGGCTAGCTGTGGCTAGCTGTGGGTAGCTGCGGCTAGCTGTGGCTAGCCACGCCTAGCTGTGGGTAGCTGTGACTAGCCATGGCTAGCTGTGGCTAGCTGCGGCTGGCCATGGCTAGCTGTGGCTGGCCATGGCTAGCTGTGGCTAGCTGTGGCTAGCTGTGGCTAGCTGTGGCTAGCTGGTTGTTCGAGTCAGTCTGCGAGGGCCTCTGGAGACCTTTTGACGAGCAAGTAGACCCTCATGTCGAGTTCCAAGTCGCCGACGACGTGTTTGTCTGCTGCGAGCGACATGAGGAGGCCTCCGAAGGACAAGTAGAGAGTTCTGCGGAGAAAAAGAGGAATAAATGGGAATAAATACGTCAAATGAATCCCAAAATGAAAATAATTCAATAATTTCGAAGAAAAATTAAAAAAAAATGAATTTTTACCTCCTTTCCGACGAAGTTTCCTCCAACTTGAACACCTTTCCGTACATCACGTAGTCGTAGCCGCTCAGCACCTGCGAGTCTGCAGCGCCGTCGCCTTTGCGGTCTGGGCCTGACAGTGAATTCGTCAGGCCTATGTGCAGCCCCTGAGCAGCAGCAACAGCAGCAGCAGCAGCAGCAGCAGCAGCAGCAGATGCCGGTTGTTTCGTTCGGTGCTTGCCTGTGTTTCCTCAAGCGGTACAGTTTCACAGCAGCAGCTGAGAAGCTCATTTGTGGCTCGAAACGCATTCACTGAAGCAGACGGGCACTGCAAGGGGTCGCTGCTGCTGGTGCTGCTGCAGTGCTGCAGCGCGCTGCTGCTGCGCTGCAGCGGCCTGGAATGCTGCTGCTTGCTGCGCAGGCGCAGCAGCAGGGCTGACCTGCTTCTCCGCCACAGGCAGCAGCTGGTTGTGGACGTCGAGGATCAAATCGGCGTCAAGTCCGGAGCTCTTCGCGCGGATTCTGCTGACGCGTTCAAACTTGCCGTTGTCCACATTGCGGACAGTGAAGCGGTCTTCGAACAAGCAGGGGATGGACATTGTGGCTGCAGCAGCAACTTGCTGCAGCAGCAGCAACTTGCTGCTACTCCCGCGCCGGCAGATCAGCACTTGGTGCAGCAGCAACTTGCTGCTACTCCCGCGCCGGCCAGATCAGCAGCGGCCGATGCAGCTGTTGCCGCTGCTGCTGCTGCGCTTCCTGCTGCGCCGGAGGAGCCCAAGCTCGTAAATGCAGAACAAGCTGCAGCAAAACAGTTTTGAAACGCCTCCTGAGTCTCGGCAGCCTTCAATTCCCAGCTTTCCTGAAAGGCAATTGTACACCTGAACTCTCCTGCTGGTCTCGCTGGGTCTTGCAAGTTGAAGCAGCAGCGCCGGCTTCCAGCAAGCTTCGCCGCAAAAAAGAATCAAGGAATATAAAAAATGAAGCCAAAAGCTCTTTTTTGATTATTAAAAATTTTGAATTATGAAAATTCAAATCCTGCGGAAGATCCTGCAAGGGCTGGTGGCTCCAGCCCCAGAAGCCTGCCCAGGGAGAGACCAGAAGGACTTTCTTGTTATTATTTGTGCGGGAAATAATATTTAGAATAATATTTTAATAATACACTATTGCAATATTGTAAAGAGAAGCAGCAGCAAATCCCTGAGGTTTCGCAATACTCAGCGCTCTGCGCGTGCTGCTGGCTTGTGGGGTGACTGCAGACTTGGGAGAACGCGTAAGAAGTAACTGAAATACAACTAAAGACATAAAATTGAATTTAGAAAATAAAAGGAACTTGGGAAGAAAGGAGATGCAGAAAAGGCCCTTAAGCCGCTTGTTCCCCCTTGGATACAGAAGTGATCATCTCCGCAAGCGCCAGCAGATCCTTCATTTCCTCGGCCTGCGTTGCACAATTTTGAAAACTTTCAGTCTCGAATTTTTTCAAGTTTTGCAAACCTGCTGCTGGATGATCTGTTGGAAATCTGTCGCCGCAGAGGTTTCCAGAGTGTGCACAGGTCAGTTCAAGTTGAGGAAGTGAACTTGAAGTTAAAGTTACCGAAAATGTCTTCTTCAAATTTGCGCTGCCCCGTGTTCACTGTGTCTTGAAGTTCTCTCGTTTGCATGCGCGAAGCCTTCGCGTTGTACTTGTCCGTGTTGGGCAAGTCCACGTGCAAGTTCACGACGGGTGAGGGCGACGGCGCCGTATCCCCTGAGAAGAGGCTCGTGAGCCGCGATCTCTCATTATTTTGTGTTTCGACAAGTTTTTAAACTAATAAATGAAGAGAATCAACAGGAAAATCGAGAGATCAGCGGCTGTAGACGGACCGACGGGCGCGTTTTGCGCATTCTCGTTCGTCGGATTCAACAACTGCTCGAAATGCGGATTCGCTATCATTTCGCGCCCT